ATAAGTAATGCATTATTCTTCTTTTTGGTTTTTTAACAGTCTGTCTAGAACACCAAAGCCTGCTGAACTGTAAAACTGTTTCCAATATTAAAAAGTAGGCTCTAGGTTTTATAATGAATCCTCAAAATATTCTATGGGATAAGTAACATTTGTGACTTGTCTTGAAAATGAAAAGTGCTATCATTTTTATTATTAGAACATATCTATGACAACTGTGTTCTTTGGGATCTAAAAAATAATCTGAACCCTCAACAAGTGACGTTGGTAAAAAAAAAGAATGAATCAAAGTCTAACTCCCTTCGAAAATCTTACAGAAAACACAGACCATCGTACAACTGGTCTGAGGGTTTTTTTCCCCTATATTTTGGAGGACAGGGCAATTTTAAAATATTGTACCATATTAGATTAAAACTCCACATAGAAATGAGACACAACATTAAGTAAATTTTAAGCTGATGAACAAACCGCTTACATAACTCACTTTCATTAACTATGATGGAGATGCAGGCACAGGGATCAAAAGATAAATTCATCAGTATCACCATAAAAGTGAAAGACACTCTCATAAGATTGTAGGTTGCATCAACATTTCATCAAGGGAAGGCCATAGGCAATAAACTGTGTGTTGTTTCACACTCAGCAAGACTATGACAGTTCACAAGTACGATTTTGTTACAGATTCATAGTACGTGAACCAAAGGTAGGTCCATTATTATATGTCTAGATGAATGCTTGGTCCATTTTAAGGACATTTAAAATTGAGGCTTTTATTTTTCAGAACTCACGTGTGGCTGTTCAAATTGCATTTATTTGTTTTTCAACAGCCGTAAGCACTCCCATGTGACATTTTCTTTATGCTTTCTCTGAAATGCAAGATAATTTATCTTGTTCAGCATCTTTCTTTGGCTTCAGAACTCAGGAATCTGTTTAATTGCCTAATTCTCTTTCAAGTGATTGCCCACATGCATATCTCCATTGGTAGGTATGAATGCACCTCAAGACTATCACTACTGTAACCCAAGTTGTAGCCACTCCTTCCATGATACCCTGAATCAAGGGAATAAAAGGACAGTGTGCATTTCCTGCTCCACAGTTCCTCTCAGCCACCTTGGCTGTCAACAAAACAGTTCTGCCAGCTTGTGCTATGGCTTGCAATTCTACTCAAAGATTTTTTAAACCACTTCCTCATTACTCTTATTTTTCTCTTTCATCCTTTTACAAAGAAAGAGAACATTTATTTCTCAGCAATTTATTTCCATTTGCCAATGGAGGCTTTGCACCCCCCACCCTCTTTTAAGCCAAGGCAGTCATGCTATGCTAGAAGCTGCCTATTGCCTATATTTTCTCTCTTCCCTGGGGAGAGAAATTAGGAGCTCTTTTTTCCCTTCTTTTCTTTTACTGCTTCTGAAGTCATCTTGCTATGGGGTTTTCAGGCTTTCTGGTGTTTAAGGCATGCCAAAGTCCCATCCCTGCATCTGATGGACAATAAAGGTACAATTTTATTGTCTGTGAGAATCCCATATTCCTGGAAAATGCAGATCTTTTATAGCCAAGACATGTTTAAACCACAACAACAGTTCCAGATGTACTTCATAGCCAAATATAGGGGTTCTGCCTCAAATTCCAGTCTGAAGGATTTGAACAGGTGCTCTGTGCTATCCGACACTGGCTTCTCACAGACACTTGCCACCTCTTCAGCTCCAGAAAGGCCTCTAGTGGGTCACAAATCTGGTGAAATTTTGTAGTTCCAGTACTGAAATCTCCAAGACAGATTTCATGCAAACAGGAAGTGAAAGGATGGTTACACCTCGCCTCATCATCTCAGCAGTCTGCTTTTGTCATTTACAGCACTGAGTATTTTTATTTTACCCTGGGAACCATTACCTTCAGTCCTGTGTGACTGTAACAAAATTATATCTCTGAGTTTTATCTAAAACCAACTGATGTTTCAGGCCTGGCACCTGCTTTGGATCTGATCACTGTGGTACTGCCTATAGAAGTTGGCACATGAGTACAGACTCTAAGCAGGCTCTGCATTATCTGCGGTTCCAGGTCAAAGATCTAGACTTTGAAGATCAGTCCATGTTTTCCAAGGTGTTAACACAAAACCCTTGGTTTCAGGCTCACTGGCCTCAGAGTGCTTATTCACTCCTTCTCATGAACTCCTTACTGGATTTAGGATGTCCAATCAGCCATTAATCTGGGGATAGATCTGACCATCTGGCACCCCATTCATTGGCTTTAGTATCTTTGATCCCTTTGGATTAGCTGAATTAGATTGAAAGGATTCTCTGGACCCAGGTTTGAGATTTGCAGGACACTAATCCATACCTGCACCCCTCCCTTTGCAAAACTATTGTTCCTCATTCACTCTATCAAATGGATCAGTTCAGGGGCTTTCAAGGACCAGATATATCATATGGCTAAGGATCTTCCTATTTTCCTGAGGGAAGCAACTGAGTCCTCACACAGACTAGTTAATATCCTAAAGCACTCCAGCCTAACAAAAATGGACTTCCTCATGATTATTCATCATAGACCTTTTCAAAATGATCTGGCAGAAGCTGGCTGGTCTCCTAACCACCACAAGTTCTTTTCAAGAGGAAAGAAACTGACAGAACAGGAAGTGGGAATGCTTCTTTACTCCCTCGGTGCAAGTCAGGAGTGTGGCTACAGTGTTCTCAGAGAACTTCAACAAGTCTTTCCATGAGTGCTTGAGTAACTTCTCTTTTATCTCCACCAGCCCAACGTGGTGTTAACCACTAGAGTCACAAGACAGGCTAATCCACGTAGCTATCTTATTAATGTATTGGGGCATGCACGTGTTCTCACTAAAGTCAAGTAAAGTTTCGTAATTAATATTACCTTGATTTCAAGCAGTATAAACAACGGTCCCTTGGCCATATTTGAGCCAAAGTATGATGTCTGCTTTTAAAGAAACAAAGATGCTGGTTGACTTTAGCAGATTTTGGATCAGGCCCTTAACTCTTTTGCGCAATGATGTTGGACAACACAAGCCCAATGCTTCTACAGAATTACGTGTTATTCTAGAAGTAAAAGTACTATTTTATATGTTGAAAAGTGTGTTTACTCATTATTCTTTTACCACTTTTTAATATTTTATTAATCTTTTTGTCCATCATATTCACAGTTGCAAATCTAGTATTTTTCCACAGTAGCCAAAGTTGACCTGAATTTATTTTTTATTAAGAAAGTTGATGCATAAAAGAAAGCTAATGGATGATAATCCCAACAAACAAATATGGAAAGGAGGCAAAGCAATGGATCTTTTCTGTTGCACTGAGTGCATGAAAACAGACAATACTACTTCCTTGAGATTTTTTCAAAGAAATAATGTTCTACAGAGATGTCATTAACATCTAAGTATGCCAGAAATATAAGATTCCAACCTTCACACAGATGTCCACTTGGAAGCTTTGTGTACAAGAAATATCAGTGATTTCTTTATCAGTTTCAGTAAACTTTAAAAAGAAAGCAGGCAGGATAGGTTTAGATGTAGGTTTAAAAAATAGGGCAAATAAAGGACCAAAATAAAGGGCCAACACATGGAGATGAAGGTGAGTTTGTTATTAGTCTGATTATATCTCACATATGGAATACTTTCCAAAATGATATACGTATGCCAGGCTAAGACGGGGGCTAATGATGAATCTAAAGCCCGCCTAGCATTAACAGTCATGGTACTGACTTTAAGAGATCATTAAGGACAGTTAGTAATTCATGATTATTGGTAGCAAATATTTATATATTATGGTGCCATAACTTTGCATGGCAGTTTGGAGAGGTAAAAAAAGAAAAGAAAACAAGATCAGCCCACTCTTTATGCATTTATAACCTAAATTAAGAAAAGACAGACCATGCAGCCCAAGAAAGAAAGGGGTAGGAATAAAACTCATTACTTATGAACAACAAATGTCATCAGGAAACTGAGGACCTCATCAAAAATCCCAAAATATGATATTTCTTTTTCTGGCAGGACACAAAGAGAAATAGACACAAACTAGCAGCACTTCCACCACCATCTGCTCAAGGTTATTGCCAAGCAAACAGATGGTTAAGCATTCACTAGGTTGCAAGTTTGATGAAAGGCACCAAAACTGGGACCAAGCAGCTGGCTGAGTGCCAGCGCTCCTACCTTGCGCTGGAGAACCAGTTTCCTTTGTGTTTTGACAGCTGCCTGGCATTTTCCAAGAAGCTCCATTTTGCAATTCTGCTGAATAAAAACTTATTTTCTTCAACAAAACTAGTGGTGGAGAGTCATTGCAAAGTCTTTCATTTATTTTGAGACAAAAATAATTTTATAGGTATTATGGCATTTAAGTTAATTTTCACTGTGAACGCCTAGCAGAGAAAAATTGGTTCTTATATAGTCTATGCATAGTACATAGATAGTAAAAAGCTGCAGTTAAAGTTTCTACTTCAAGTTCACTGTTGTTTGCAAAATAAGTCTGAGGATGGAAAAATCGGTAGGGGATAAAAAATTAGACTTTGTGGTTTTGGACAAATCATTAATGCTCAGATTCTCTAAGGATATGTAAACAACTACTTCCTAATAATTTAGACTTCCATCCAGTTTGTTCCCAGAAGTTCTAAATGGTTCTCAACTGGTTTTAGATACTAAAGTGAAAAAGAGGTTCAGTTTGACCCTACTCCACAATGACAATCCACAAAACTCACTACGTACGTATGTTCCAACAGTATCTCCAATTGGGTTGCAAAGTTCCAGGATGCCTATATGAGGACTTCTATGTTTGGCCAGTGGTGATCTGTGCCTACCCTGAAGGGTGGCACTAAGCATTCTGAATGACAAGTTAACATAGCCACTAGGTACCTACCTCTGAAGCAGGACTTTGTGTAATGTAGTGGGTTATAAGCAAGTAAAGGCATCTGACATTCAAGACTGAATCAGGTACCTAAGACTGAAGTGGGACAGGAGTTCAAACACAGCTCCATGCCAAGCATTTCCCATTGGTTACATCTAGACTTTCTGGATAGCTGTCCGTTGTGTGTCCTGCTGCCCCGGGCATGCAGAGGGGCTGGGGCGGCTCCATGGCTGGACTGCCTTTCTAGGTAGCCCAGGCAACGGTGACTCCTTCTGGCTGCTGCTGCCACCGGCCCAGCCCTGTGGTACTGGTAGGGACCTGCTCGCGTAGCCCCAAACTGGCCTGCCCTGTGCTTGCTTCGAACTCACCTGTGCTGAGCAGCAGTGGCAGCCGGGCAGAAACTATTGCTCAGCACAAGGGAAAAGAAGACCCTCCCTCTCGCTGCTGCTGGGCCCTTCCTGCTGCAGCTGTCCGGAGCTTGCACTGGGCTACCCTGCATCTCTGTGGCTATCACTGTCATCCCCAGGCTGCCCAGCGGGGCAGCAGTGACAGTGCAGAGCAGTCACAGAGCAGCTGCACTAGGAAGGGCCTGATATTAATGAAGGGAAGGGGCCACTTTTTGCCTGTGCTGAGCAACAGTTTCTGCCTGGCTGCCATCGCTGCTCAGTGCAGGGGAGTCAGGAGCAGGTGTGGGGTGGGCCAGGTTGGAGGTTTGCACGCAGATCCCCACTAATACTATGAGGCTAGGGCCAGTAGTGGCAGCAGCTGCAAGTGGCTGGGGCCAACAGCGGTGGCAGCTGTGAGGAGCTGCAGCAATGGAGCCACCCCAACCCCACTGTGTGCCCATGGAGTGGCAGGAAGCGTCACGGATGTGTGGTGTGGAATAGGTATGGAGCAAGCTGGGTTGGGGCTGATCTGGTCCTGCTGGGCTGAGTCCAGAGCAGGCATGAGGCAGGGCTGGAGCTGCACACTGTTAGTGGTGGTGGGGATGCACCACAAAGTGTGTGGGCTCTGGGCTTTTGCTGGGTAGGGGCAGGTGCTGACCAGCTCAGGGGGGTATGTGTGGGGGGCTCCCAAACACACCCCATCATACCCACAAACCCTCTCCTGCAAACCCCAGAACCACATCCTCCCCCCAGACAGTCACACGCCCATCCACACCCTCCCCCACAAGCCCCACATCTCGCCCCACATGCAACCCCCCTATACACAGCCACATGCCACTGGAGGGAGCCCTGGTCACTGTTACACACACAGGCTCCACCACAGCACACGCACCCACACTCCTCATGCATACCCCACACCCCCACACACCCCCGTAGCCACTCTCCCCCTCCATACACC